AGTAGCATTAATTTGGTTCCTACCAGTATATAACCCCTTATGTAGAAATCTGGTCTCTCCTGAAAGCATTTGGAGGATGTAAGTATCCTAATTTCCATAACAGACAGTTAAGAATTCCTATTTCATCCCCCAACCTCCAGAGCCTCTCAAGTTATAACTCATTTGATGAAGTGACAGTACAGCCCTGAGGTGGGGCCATGACTAATATGACCTCCTCAGTCCCTTTCTGTCCATCATATGAAGGATGGGAAAAGGAATTGGCGGCCATCTCCACCACCCAATGTTTGACTCGGGGAGCCCCTGAGGACCAGACAGACCCTAGTGAGGCACCACAGGCTTTTTTCCCCAGAGTGGGCAGGGTCCACACCCTGGCATAGTGACTGGAGTGGGAATCCTGCGGACAGAGGACACAGAACCCACACTTATCCCTCTTCCCCAAATTCAACTTCCACAGCCTAGCGCCCTCCTCTATCACTCCCAATTCCAAAATTGTCAGACTTGCCATAGGGCTCATCTGAGCCCAGACACCTGTCATGCATCATCTCAGGCCAGTGCTTCCCAAAGCTGAAAAAGCATACAAATCACTTGGGAGCCTGTTAATAATGCAGATTCTGATTCAGGAGGTCTGGGTTGGTGCCTGCGATAACAGGAGCTCTAACAAGCTCCCAGGTGACCCCCATGCTTCTGGTCCATGGACCACACTCCGAAGAGCGGGATCTAGATGACTGTAGCAGGTGCTACAACTCTCTTCCAGGAAGAGTCTCTCTATCCATAACCACTGTCTGTCAATCCTCCAGATGGCTGTGAGAATCATATCTCATCTTTCCTGGGTCAGAAACCACACTCCATGGCACAATACACAATAAAACCTGAAGCATAAATTCCCTTCAAATGTGAGAAAACACACCCTTCACAAGAGTCTCATCTTTCATGACTCTTAGGGTCTATGTAGCCTAGAATCACTGTCCCTTTTCCTTTCCAACTCGCCTGCCCCTCTTCTATTTCCCAAATTACTCCATAAGCACCCACCTCCAGGAAGTGTCTCTTGACCAATACCTCTCTCTCAGTTTCTACTCACACCTTCCCTTCCAGAGTAATGATGCCTCCATTCCTATCCAATTATTAATATCTATTTTGTCCATTTTTCTACATATGTGGGTTATCAATTCTCTTTCCCTACAGAATCATAGATGCTTTAAGAAGGTTTTTGCACCAGTCTCTCAAAGAAGCATCTAAAGTAGTAAGTAAATATATGGGTAATCCTGCAGCCACCTACTTCCTGTTCGGAAGAGGAGAAATTCAGCAAGTAAGAAAGTAGCTTCCCTCCCTCCCTCCCAGCGTGGGCCCCATACATAATTACAGCAGAAAAACACTGGCCCTCCTATACCAAAGCATAAAATTGATGCATCAAGAAGAATGCCTGTTGTGCTCACACTGGAGCCAGTCTCATCTCCAGGGACTCCCTGGAGTCAGGTAAAGTAGGTTGGGGTTTCCATCAATTTCACTCCTCCCATCCCCTCCCACATCCCATGGGAAGAGATAGAGCAGGACCAGGGAACATTATATCAGGCATCCTTCTGCCCCAGGACTTGTTTTCCCTGTTGATCTTGGAATGAACACTCTGCTTACCGCTGGGTCTAGAGGAAGGGGAGAACCTATCCCTGGCCCTGAGCATGATTCCACTGTAATGGAACAGACAGGACAGTCACCAGAACTCAGGCATAGCCAGACAAAGGCAAAACTACAAGTGCCTGGGGACAGATCTAGCTGCTGAGTAAGGATACGGTTCTGGATGGAGAGAAATGCTGTTTGTCAAGGAAGTCCCCCAGAAGATAGCCTTAGAGAAATAGCATAGTGTTAGTCTGAAGGAAAAGGAGAATTTTTGGTACCAAGGAAATGTGTAAGGTTCAATTTAATTTAACATGAATTTATTAAATGCTCATTGTATGCCTGGCCACCAGCTGGATGCCCTAGGAAGTGAACAGGTTATACTCCTTACCTATGACTATAATCAGGAAAAAAAAAAGAAAAAGAAAAGAAAGATACACAGATAACTGGTATGCTATTTTTTATTTCGAATTTCTTCAGGTACAATGGACATAACTGTAAGATACTTAAAGTACACATTTGATATACATGTAATTGTGAAATGATTCATTTAGATTTCCCTCTGTGAAATAATTAATAATGGCATTTTAATCTAAATGTTACATTAAATGAAGGTGAGTGTTCAAAGGACACCTTTGTTTCCTTCCCTTCATTCATACACGTGATCCGGCTTCAGCTGGATCTTTGGTTTTCAAAGTGTGGTCTCTAGACCAGCCGCAGCAGCATCACATGGGAACTTGTTAGAAATATAAGTTCTGAGTTCCACCCCACCTCCTGAATTTCAAACACTGGGACAGTGGTCTAGCAATCTCTTTTCACAAGTCCTCCAGGTTTCATGGCACCCCATGAAGTCTGAGCACCACTAAGCAGAGTACTACTACTGGCCTCTCTCCACCTGGCTCTCTGTGACCTTGATTAATGAAGACATAACATGCAGCATACTCAGCTTAGCTTCTTTCAACTATTTGTTAGCTCTCTTATTTTATCCAGAACAAACCTGACCACTGGACACATGAAATCCAACCTGCTCATACAGGAAAAAAAACTAATTAAAGCAGACTCGTGATGGCAAGTGAGGGATACTCAGCAGTATTTGTGATGAGGAGTAAGTCTGTCTAATCTAGTGATACGGGATTAGCAAGGCAATAGGCTGCACATCTACAGCTGATGATTCAATCATCTGTCTCCGTGTCATGATTATCAATAGATTCCAAACATGGGGTGGGGGTGGGGGGAATGGCATGTTATTTATCGGACCTCTACAGCTCCAACAATGGGTTGTGGTGAAAAGTGGGCAGGAAGAGGGTACAGATTATGTTCAGTAAAGAGACCTAGTTAAGAGAATAACAGAAGGACCAGAGGAAATCCTAGAATTATTTAAGTAGACAGACTTTTGAAACTATCAGTCCTGATCTCTCCTGTTACAGATAAACAAGCAGAGGGACTGAGCACTTTTCAAGTTCACATTGGTAGTTAGTGGTAGAAACAAGACCATGACCCAGGACACATGGCTCTCAGCTGTGTGCTTTCTGAGTAGGTGGACCAAAGCAGGTTTCTACTGTTGCAGTAGAAAAACTTCAAAGTCCAAGAATGCAGATGTCCCTAAGTACCAACAAAGGGGTTCTCAGCATGGGTGATGGGTTCAGGGCCAAAGTGCTTTGTGCTCAGAGGAAAGCTCTGGCTGCAATCCACCTGTGCATGGCTCTGTTGCCCCTCACACAGCCAGGGCTCAGGCTACACAGCCTGCTCAGGCTCTGAACAGTTTTGTTTCCCTGTGCTTTTCCTCCTGGTATTCCCACTGCCTACAGCTTCTCCCTGCTGCCCATATGTGGTGAATCCTATCCCTGAAGACAGCCAACTAAAAGTCCATTCCTGTACAAAGTCTTCTCTAATATCGCCAATTAACCCTCACCACTGTGCCAGCCACAAATGATCATCTTCTACTCTGAATTCCCAAAATACTTCATTTGTATATTACTTATGACAACACTTTCTACTTTGTGTTACAGCTTTGCTCTACACCTTGTATTAGAATATCAGCTTCTTAAGTGCAGGGGCCATATGTCATCTTTTTTTGGTCTTTTTCTAGTTTCTTTTATTTATTTTTACTGAATATAATGAGCATACAGTGTTCTTATATTACTCTCACGTGTACAATACAAGAATTCAACAATTCCATATATTTCTCAGTGCTCATCAAGATAAGTGTTCTCTTAGTCCCCTTTATTTAAATCACTCATTCCCCTACCCATCTTCCCTTTGGCAACTATCAGTTTGGCCCTCTATTTTGGAGTCTGGGGTGGGTTTTTTGATTCTCTCTTTTTTCTTTTTAATTTTTTTAATTTCTTAAATTCTATATAACAGTGAAAACATATATGTGGCATTTGTTTTTCTCACGTGATATATATATCACGTCTTCTTTATCGATTCAGCTATCAGGGGATACAAGGGTTGCTTCTATATCCTGCCTATTATAAATAATGCTGCAATAAACATAGGGTGCATATATCTTTTCAAAATCATGTAACTAAAATTCTTCCCAACAGAAAAAGAAACCATTTACAACAAAAAAAGGCAACCTACTGATTGGGAGAAGATACTCACAAGTGATATATCAATAAGGGGTTGACACTCAAAATACATAAAGAACTTATACAGTGCAATACCAAAAAAAAATCCAAATTAAAAAAGGCAGAGGACCTAAATATTTTTCTAAACAGACATACATACAGATGGCCAATGAACACATGAAAAGATGCTTTGTCTCACTAATCATCAAGGAAATACAAATTAAAACTGCAATCAGATATCACTTTATCTAAAATCAAAAATAGAAGAAAAGCAAGTGTTGGCGAAGATACGGACAAAAATGAACCCTCATGCACTGTTAGTGGGAATGTTAATGGTGCAGGCATTATGGAAAAAAGTATGGAATTACCTCAAAAAATTTTAAAAAGAACTACCATGCGATCTGGTAATCCTGCTACTGGCTTTTTCTTAATTACTACAGCCACTGTGGAGATCATACTCACCAGACTAAGATCAGGAATCATGCTATACTGACTGAGACAGTTAGCTACATCCTTCACTAGTGGATATTTAACCAAAGAAGAGGAAAATGCCTTCAAGCTTCTTTTAATACTAATTATGTAAATGTCAGTAAGCAGTATAGACACAATTAAAAAGTAGAAAGAAAAAAAAAGAGGAGAAAGAGCAAAGTCTCATCCTTCACTCTACCATAAATATGGAACTCTATTAGTATTTTCACACCAATATCTCATAGGAGCCCTGGATTCCCATGTGCTCAAGAGTACTCCCCATTACTGTGTAGGGAACCAGACTGAATTCAGGTGTGATGACGTCAAACCAAAAATGTTCCGGCACTGCTGAGTTCAAGGTTCATGTTTTGGTCGCTTAAGGCTGTGCTGGATCCCATAGGCGAAGTAGATAATAAACCCAGTCAACATCCAGGCACCAAATCGGACCCAGGTGCCAGCGGTCATCTGCATCATAAGGCAAACATTCAGAAAGATGCTCAGGAGTGGGAGGAGAGGCAGACCAGGTACCTTAAAATGAGGCAGATGGGAGCTCTGTGGCTGTCTCCAGATGATCCCAGTGATCCCAGTGATGACCACCAGGAGCAGCACAACTACTGTGATCCACCCTGGGTCTCCAGAAAGCAGACCTGGCCACTGGGCCAGCACCAGGCAAAGAACAATCAGCAGCAGAAGAAGCAGTGAGGAGCAAACATAGACAACTCGGCCAGAGAGTGGAGTGGGGGTGGGGCTGCCTGGAAAAAATAGTCCCTGTAGAGTCAGCTTCTCTGCTGCAGGTGGGTTCTCCTCCTGCACCTCTGCTTCATTTCCCTCATTCTCCTCTTCCTCCTCTGCTTCGTTTTCTTTATTCCTCCTCTCAGGCTGATACCTGATGATGAGAACACAAAAAGCTACCAAGGAATAAGATAGCAGGGTCGCAATTGACCTGAGGTCCAAGAGATCAGCGAATCCAAAGAATAATAATATGATTACTGCAATAACATAAATGAATATCCTGAACACTAAGTGGGTATGTGTGCCAGTGATGACCCTGGCAAGCACAGGGAACAGGAGGCCATCCTTTGCCATCATGCGTATCACAAAACTTATGGGGTACGTTAAGCTCCAATACACATTGATAAAAATACTACAGAAAATTGCAACAGCTACAACATAGTAGGCAAGGCCCCAGCCAATATGGAGAAATGCCTCAGGTAAGGTGCTCCCAGGTCGGAGCTGGTAGTAAGGCACCATAAGTGTAAGTGCTGCAGAGACACCAAAATACACCAAGATGCAGGTGAGCAGTGAAATAACAATGCCCATGGGGATGGAACGCTCAGGCTTGTGCGATTGTTTGACTCTGGTAACAATAATGGCAAAACCTATAAAAGTATAGAAACAGGTAGCTGCTCCACGAAGAATCCCCTGGAAGCCAAAAGGCACGAATCCTCCAGAGCCCAGAGGGCCCAAGCTAGAGGTGTCATTGAGTTCAGCCTTTATGTAGTCCTCTTCTGTGAGCCTCCAGTTGTGCAGGTCCCCCTTAATGAAGCCAGAGATGATGACAAAACTGAGAACCAAAAGTTTCACCAATGTGAAAAGTTTGAAAACCATGAAGAACCTACGAAAACCCAGATTTCGAATTTCTAAGAGAAAAAACCAAAGGATCATAGTAAAGTAGACTAGATTATCTGCTAAGGCTTGGGGAATGTGCTCTGAGATATTCTCAGAGATCTGATTTCCAATCAGGTAGTCAAAAATTAAGGTCCAGGCCTGGATCACAACGACTGCATCAATCAAAAAGGAGAGGATGAGGTTCCAACCGATGATGAATGCCCAGAGTTCACCTATAGTGACAAAACAATAGAGATATGCGGAACCAGAATGCGGAACCCGGGTGCTAAATTCTGCATAGCACAGCCCAGCCAATAACGAAATTAGGCCAGCCACCAAGAAGCATATCACAGTGGCTGGTCCTGCTTGACTACTAGCCACCTCAGCAAGCAGGAAATACACACCAACCCCCACTGTGCGGCCCACACCCATGGCCACTAAATCCAGAGTGCTCAGGTTTCTACCATATTTAAACTCATGTACTTTTTGTTCCAGTGGACGTCTGTGTACCAGCTTTTGACCAAACTTGCGAAGTGCTTGACGCAGCATTCTAGCTGGAATTGAAGAAGATTCTAAAGATCAGAGAGTTGTAGCAACATCTGGGAGCCAAGAGTGTTAGATCTGGTTCAGTGAGGCTGAATTAAGCCAGGTTGGGTTAGGGCTGCAAAGGTTGGGTTGCTCAAGCTTCACGGTTGCTGCTTCATATTTCTTCTGGTATGTGTTATCCTTCCATAATGCCTAGGGAAACAATAAGTGTATACTGAACATTGGTGTTCAACCAACCAAATGAAACTCAAAAGTCACATGTAACATGGTGCAGGCCAAGTATCACAGGAACTGACACCAAAAGACATCATAAAAAAAATCAATCCTGCTTCCCCCCCCCCGAGAAAAAGTACCACAGATCATCCAACATTCTGCTTTAAAAAAAAATGTATTTTTCAGAGGGCTCAATGCCCAGCATGGAGCCCAACACACGGCCCAAATTCACAACTTTGAGATCAATACCAGAACCAGTATCAAGACTCGGGCTCTCAACTGACTGAGCCACCCCAGCACCCCAAAATCCTCCTTTTTTACTCACCACGTGATATAATCCCATTTGATCTCATAAGTCATGTAGCTTCACATACTAATTAAGACACAACAGAGTTTGTATGTATCATGGGATTTTTCACATGCTGTGAAAAGTGTGTGCTGTGCTTGAGCATAGGTTATGACACATTAATTCATGGACTAGAGGGCCATGATGAAATTACAGACCCACTTTTTATATATCATCAGAGTTTAAAATACAAATATTGGTGTATCAATCTTAAAGCTCTTATCACTAAACAACAAGCACGTGAGACAGATAAGGAGGCTCAGTTCTTAACTTATGGATTCTTTCTACACTATTTAAAGTGTCCCTAACCCACAACCAGGCTTCACATCCCCTCCATGGTTCCTACCGCCCTTTCTTCCTAGTCTTTCCTTCCTTCATCATCTGACCTGTCCTTATTCCTCCAGCCTCATTCCCTGCCCAGTTCCTGCTCCAGCTGAGAAATTCAACACTTGCCCTCTTCCCTGCCCTCTAATGCCCTCTTGGCCCCTTCACGTAGCTAACTCTCACTTCTCTTTCAGTTCCCAGGTCAGCAGTTACTTCCCCAGGAAGCCTCCACTGACCCTTATGCTGCCCTTCTTATGTGCTCTCCCAGCACCAGGCTTCGCCTCGGTGCCATGGATCCTAATATATCCAAATTCCAGGTCAGCTGCCAGTCTCCTCCATCAAACTGTGGGTTAGGTGTTCAATAAATATTTCTTGAACAAATGACCACACTGAGAAGAGAACCTGCAAGAAGCCATTATCCAGAATTCCTATATACTGGATATTAATATACCTATTTTGTAGTCAAGCAACCTTGAGAAATATAGATCAGGTAAAGATAAACATGGTATTACCTTCCTTGTGGAAGGTGAGCAAAATGGATAGTGAGAAGGGGAAAACACTGTGATGAAACTTTGAATGCATATCATTCATGGCAGGTATAAGTGGTAAACAATTGTTTGCCTTTGAGGACACTTGTTTAAAAATATAGGGCTGCTTTGGATTATAGACAACCGATACCCATGCCCAGTTTGAAAATCCCTACTTTTTGGAAGGCATAGGCTCAGGCACTATAATCCAGGTAGGATGTCCTAAAGCAGAGGTTCTCACTTCAGGGAACAGAGGCAGGCATAATGAAGACACCTGGGGACATTTTCAAACTTCAATCTTCTCCGTCTGGAGATTCTTGTCCACTAGCCCTTACTTCCCATGGCTGCTCTAAACCACCCCAATTCACAAGAAATCATCCTCAAGTTCAGGAGGAATGGATTCTGAAAACTTCCTTCACAGGAGGCAGCATAGTTGAATAGCTCTGAGTAAGGTTCTGCAGGTAGACTGTTCAGGTTGAAATCTCACCTCAACCTCATACCTGGATGACTCTGGTCAGATTAGTTCACCTCTTAGAACTTTAGCTTCCACAGCAGTCAAATGGAAGTAAAAGTGAATCCTGACAAGACAGTGGTGAGGAGTAAGTGAAATGATGCCTGTAAGCACTTACCCCAGTGCCTAGAAAACAATCAGCACTTAATATGATTACCTAGTATTTAATATTGAAACCCGGTCAAAAGTAATCAAATTTTGAAAATCTATCAGTCTGTATAAATGTGCAGACTCAAAACCATCCACTAAAACTCAAGCTTGTCAGCTAGCCCTCAAAGACAGTGAAAACAGTTTTATTCCATATGATTCACCTTCAAACGTTAAAAACTCTAATTAGACACCCTCATACATACTGGTGATAACACACGGGGGGTCCTAGGCTTACTACATTAGGCCAGGCGTGGAGAAATGCAAGATTCAATACAATAATAATAATTAATAATAACAGTAATAATAATGTCTTTGCCCATCTGGAACAAGGAGTACTGGGTACTATGAAGGTAAGAACAATGAACATATAACAGAAATCCTGGATCGTGACTATATGAACTTGGGTAATTTGATTAATCTCTCTAAGCCTTAGGCTCCTCATCCATTGACTTGACTTCCCTCACTGGATCAACATGAGAATTCAATAAGAAGATATAAACCATCACACACTGCAGGTAGGAATGTCACTGGGGGACCATCCAGAAGCACAACCTTAATGGAATTAAGAATGCACACACGCTTGTGCACTGTAGTTGTTGAATGGGTGAATGTATCTAAAACATATACAAAATGTGGACTGGAAGAGCATTTGTTAAATACACTAAAGCAATTGCCTCCAGGAGGGGAAATGAGAAGAGACAAGGATGAAAGGGGAAAATAAAATGTATTGAAAGTTGCCTGACAGGAAGTGATGGTCCTAACATACCATAATGGAAAAAGGGACTGACTCGACTCTGTGCAAGGCAGGTTCAACACAGGAATCCAGGAGAGGACCTGGTACAGACCCTGATATGGCGGCAACTCAGTAGATGTAACATGAAGGGGAACCAGAATTCTGTAATCATCAGGATACGGAGAATACAAAGAAGGAACCTGCCAAAGAGAGGGGGAGCAGGGAACATGAGGCACCCTTCATACTATTCCCTCTGAATCCATTTCCCTTTTCCCAATCCCTCTTTCTCCTTCAGCTCCTTCAAGTATCCTTGGAGGCTCCTATACTTAGCACTAAGGATGTTTGTATCATGTTTCTTTCTCTAGGGAACAGTCCCCCGCCAAATACCTCCCAACAAAGACACAAAAGTGGTTCTTCATATTGTCAAATCACAGAGACCCCTGAGGTTGGTCACCTCAAAAAAAAATGTGTTACACTATTCTGAAGACCATCCACGGACCCTGAGTGAGATCCAGAGGAGAACCATCTGATTGGCAGGGTTGAAGAGGGCAATACTTTAATAATTTGTTTCTCTCAACTGTGTTGTGCAAGGTGGTCCTTGTGCTCTTCCCACTTTTACTGAAGAGGAGAGAGAGGCCTCTTTGACTTCAGGCATACCAACCTCTTACAGACACATCTCTAGAGGCAAGGGGAGTAAAGCAAAAATTAACTATAGGGATTTCATCAATATAAAAAGTTTCTGCATGGTAAGAAACAATCAACCAACCTAAAAGACAACCTACAGAACGGGAGAAGACATTTCCAAATGACATATCTGATAACAGGTTTGTATTCAAAATCTATAAGGAACATATCAAATGCAACACCACAAAAATAACAATCCAGTCAAGAAATGGTCAGAAGACACGAACAGACATTTGTCCAAAGAAGACATCTAAATGGCTAACAGAAACATAAAAAGATGGTCAACATCACTCATCATCAGGGAAATACAAGTCAAAACCACCATGAGATATAACCTATGCCTGTCAGAATAACTAAATACAACAACACAAAAAACAACAGGTGTTGGCGAGTATGTAGACAAAGAGGAACCCTCCTACACTATTGGTGGGAATGCAAACTAATGAGATTACTCTGAAGAAGAGTATGGAGATTCCTCAAAAAAGTTAAAAACAGAACTACACTTCATCCAGCAACTGTACAACTAGGTATTTACCAAGGGATACAAAAATACTGATTTGAAGAGGCACATGCACACTGATGTTTATAGCAGTATTATCAACAATAGCCAAATTATGGAAAGAGCCCAAATGTCCATCGATTGATGAGTAGATAAAGAAGATATGGTATCTATATACAATGAAATATTACTCAGACATCAAAATGAATGAAATCTTGCCATCTACAACCTTGTGGATGGAACTAGAGAGTATTATGCTAAGTGAAATAAGTCAGTCACAGAAAGACAAATATCATATGATTGCATTTATATGTGAGATTTAACAAAACAGATGAACATAGGGGAAGGGAAAGAAAAATAAAATAAGATGAAAACAAACAGTGAGGCAAACCATAAGAGACTCATAATGATCAAGAACAAACTGAGAGTCCTGGAGGGAGGTGGTAGGAGATGATGGGCTTTAAGAAGGGTACTTGTTGTCATGAGCAATGTGTGTTGTATGTAAATGATGAATCACTAAAGTCTATACCTGAAACCGATTTTAGCCTATGTGTTAGCTAACTAGAATTTAAACAAAAAATTTGAAATAAAAATGATCAGTCTACAAACAGTGCGTTCCACAGAAACTTGACTTTCTATAAAACACCTGACCTGTGTTGTTCAAAAATTGTCAGTGTCAGGAATGGCAGGAATGGCAGGAACAGCAGGACGAGGAACTGTTGCAAATGAAAGGAAAATAAAGAAACATGACAATGAGATGCAATGCAGAGCCCTGGACCGCACCTCAGTCAGGGAGAAATATTTTACTATAAAAATTGAATAATTACTAATCTTTGAATACGGACCATATTCACACACACACACACACACACACACACACACATAGTGGAGAGAGCAATAAAATGTGCCAATATATCAACAACTGCTCAGTGTCATTGAAGGATAAAGGAATGTTAATGCTAATATTCTTGCAACTTTCTGTAAGTTTGATATTTGTCAAACTAAAAGGGTAGGAA